TCAATAAGTAGCACAACTAAACAGGAGTAATCTGTGTATTCAAAAAGCACTACGATTCAATCCAGTAAACATGCATCAGTTATTCGAACAGAGATAGTTTTAGTAATGGTTTCCCTCAATGGTAAATGCAACTCCCCCTTTATGCACTTTGATCTACCACCTGAAAATCAAACTGTATCTTCTTTGGACCAAAAGCCACATCTCTGATTTTGTAAGGGAGAAAGTAGGGCTTCTGAAATTATCATGATATGAACTTCTAATCGATGTTATTGCATATCAATGTAATATCCAAGTTGCTTTCCTGATCTTAGGTTTTGGGACAAGTAGGTTCTGAATCAGTTCATGGAGTAGAATGGAAGTTTTTGAAGTTTGTGGAAGAACCTAATTTTGGACCAGGATTCCCAATTGAGACTGTGTATGTTACTGGAGACCTTATTCTTGAGCCTTTAAAAGGTTAGCAACATGCTAATTTCAATTACAATGTTTCATATTGTAAACAATGAATGTTATGGGTTGACTTTTACAGACCATTGTCAATGGAGTTCCAATGAAATTTGCTCCAATTTGCTTCTTCAAGTAAAGCCAGGTGGCAATCGAATTGGGCCATTAGCAGTCAACACTCTACTTACAGAGTCAACACAATCTCATTCCTTAAAATTGCCTCCAACATTGTCATGTCAGGTTTGTAGGCTTCAATTAAATGTTCTATAAATCAAGCAAAGTCTCCACTTTTAATGCTATTGCATAAAATTACAGGAATACCCTCCTGGAGTAAACATTATACCTATGAGAAGCAAAACAGCACAACCTTTTCATACAACAAATTTGATTGTATTTACAAATGGGAATAATCAAGTTAAACATGAAAGTAGTCCCTTTATTGCTCATGGAGAGGCAATGATTATAGATCCTGGATGTCGATCAGAGTTCAATAAAGAGGTAAATGTATATATTGATTAGATACCATTTTTAAATTATCTTTTTAGTTTCTTAAATATGAAGTAATTTTAATAGTGAAAGTGAAAACCAGCTTGCAGAAATTGTTACTGCTTTACCACGAAAGTTAATTGTATTTGTCACTCATCATCATCGTGATCATGTTGATGGTAAGCAACAAGTAAAAAAAAAAAATTTAATTACATTTCCCATGTTTTATAATTTAAAAAATCATATTTCTTTTGATGAATAATGATCAAAATTTGATGTTTCCTTTCAGGGCTTTCCACTGTTCAAAAAACCAATCCTGATGCTCATCTTTTGGCTCATGAAAACACCATAAGCCGCATTAGAAAAGGTCACAACTTTTTACATTTACATATTACCGAAAATACCCTTGAGCTTGAGTACTTGACTTTATTTTCTGCTTTATGGCATACAGACGATTGGACTCTTGGTTGTACAACAGTTTCTGGAACAGAAGAGATCTGCATTGGTGGAGAGAGATTCAAAATCATATTTTCTCCAGTAATCACGACTTAATAATCTAATTAACTTAAATTCTCACTTATTTAAGAACTAAAAAGTTAAAAATTAAAACATGTGATAAATATATAGGGGCATACAGATGGACATCTAGCATTGTTGCATGTTAGCACTAATTCATTGATTGCTGGTGATCATTGTGTGGGGTAAGATCCAATTAAAATTAATTATTATTTGCATTCCAATATATTTTTTTATAAAAATTGTTATTATTTTCAGACAAGGAAGTGCTTTCTTGGATATAAATTCTGGTGGTAATATGAATGTAAGAGAGTGCGCTTCAGTTTATGCAATTTTTTTTTTCATGTGAATTTTATATTAAAATTAAATTATTCTTTTTCAGGATTACTTCCAAACAACTTACAAATTTATGGACCTCTCACCAAATGCTTTGATCTCAATGCATGGAAGGGTTAATTTATGGCCAAAACACATGCTTTGTGGTTATCTTAAGTATGGAAAAAACATATTAATTATCAAAAAAGTTTACATTGGTGTTTTGTTTGGATGGGTATTATAGTAAAATGTTTATTTCAGGAATCGTAGAAGTAGAGAATCTACAATATTGAAAGCTATAGAATCAGGGTCAAAAACTTTGTTTGATATAGTTGCATATACATATGCTGACGTGGACAGAAATCTTTGGGTGATTGCTGCATCTAATGTGAGGCTTCATGTTGAGCATCTTGCTCATCAAAACAAATTGCCTAAGGTAAAAAAAAAAAAAAAAAAAAAAAACGTTCACACTAAACCTATAAAATAATAGTTAAATTGATAAAAATGAATTTTACATAAATTGATTTGAGATTATGCAGGAATTCTCTTTAGAAAATTACAGGCGCAGTTGTTCTCAATTTACTATCCACGTGGGTAAATTATAAACCAAGGCCACGTCATCTGCTGACTCCCCTTCTTTTACCTTAGGTTAAACTTTTTGCATTTTAACCCGAAGACTTTGCAAAATATTTAAACTTGAAAATTTGTTACACCACCTTATATATGATAAAAAGAAAATTTAAAGTTTGTTGATCTTAAATAAACATATAAAAAATGATTACAATTTTTATTTTTGTAGGAGTTTTGTGTAAAGAAGTTTGAGTCAACATGTAGAGTTCATTTCTTGTTACGGTGGGTGTGGACATATGTACAAAACCGCATTATTAATTATCCAACTTTGATGCTGCTTGGTGGTCTAACAGCTTCTGGTGTTGCTTTCTTGTATTGTGTACGCAATAATCTCAATTCTAGATGAAGGTTCTAGAATTTAGAAATGATATGATGTATTAAATTTAAACTTATTTAAATACATGTTGAGAATGGTTTGGAAAAATTATATTTTAGATCACAATGCTTGGGATGTGCACATTTGATCCGATAATGTACATACGTCACCCCCAACCCAAATGTATTAAAAAAATTCGTTTGGTGGCATATATGAGAATATTCAAGCATGTTACGTTAATTCTTATAAAATTATGGTTTTATAATAAGATCAGATTATCCATGATCATAAACAGATGAATTAGCTTGTTAAAAAAAGCACATACCTGAGTGTACCAAAGACGTGGCCGATATAAGAGATGCTGAAAACTTAAAATAGATGATATATAGTTGTTCCTTTTCAAAACAAATCGTAAGGCATTGCATCTTACGATGTAAAAAGGTAAATTACATGGAGATCATTCTCAATTTCTTCATAATCAAGGAGAAAATCTAATTATTGATTGGCATTGCATCTTATGAGGTCTCACTTGATCTGAAAAACGAGAAAGGGGATATGAAATCATACACAATTCACACTACAAGAAAAGTCCTTGTTATATATATATATATATATATATATATATATATATATATATATATATATATATATATATATATATATATATATATATATATATATATATGTGGATTATTTTTGTAGCGCAAATCTTACCTAGTCCAGTCCGGAGGCTTTATGTTGTGACCAATATTCATTAACAAGCTGTGCGAATAAGGAAGCTGATTCATTCATTAGTTTCATGGGCTTGTCATACTCCATCACCTTTCCTGTAACATACAAGCATAATTCTCATTTATTTCAAAAGGATCAGCATGCATTTTGAATTCCTTTACTCGTTCTTGAAAATTGTAAGAAGCCACAACTTGTGAAAGGATGGAGGATTTTCGAATTTGTACTACTTGCAAAATACATGTTTTTGTGGGCAATTTTTGTAAGAGCAATTGTTTGCTTGTGAAAAGTTAAAGGTAGCTAGTTAGTAGAAAGATATAGGAAAGAACTCACCATCCTTCATAACAAGTACCATTGTACAGTCTATAACGGTTGGTATTCTGTGTGCAACTGTTATTACTGTACATTGTTGAAATTCTTCCCGAATCGTTTTTTGGATAATTGTATCTGTTGCATTGTCGATTGAAGCTGTGGCTTCATCAAGTATCAATATCTTTCGTCTTTTCAAAAGGGCTCTTCCTAAACAGAATAATTGTCGTTGTCCCAAACTCCAATTCAAGCCATCTTGCACAACTGTATTTACATCATTATATAATTAATACCAAAACACCATCTTAATCTTTAGTCTAATGTAGAAGTTATAAAGCTTCTTACCTAACGAGTCTAACCCCTCTTTTTTATCTTGAATCACCTCTCGAAGTTGGCATTTTTCAAGAACCTAGAATACACAATGATCATTAGCATTTGTTGATGGCTTTTGATTAAAACATGTCTGATTGTGATATGTTGTTACCTTCCACAGTTCCTGATCACTATGTTCTGCTAGGGGATCAAGATTATATCGAATGGAACCACTAAATAGAGTTGGTTCTTGTGGGATGATACCAAAACTTGATCGAAGGTCATGAAGGCCAATAGAAGTGATATCTAAGTCATCTATAACAATCCTTCCTTGTGTAGGTTCAACTAGTCGAAACAAAGCACTTATCAAAGTTGTTTTTCCACTCCCTGTCCTTCCAACAATTCCAATTTTATGTCCTCCTTCAAATACACAATTGATTCCTTGAAGTACCAATGGGGAATTCGGTTGATATCTAATCTGCATATCAACACATAAACAAATAGTCAACAAAAGTTACAAGAGTGAATAATACATGCTTGGAAATAAGTTTGAAAATGTTACGTACTTTAAGGTTTTGAATATCAACTCTACCGATACTTGGCCAACTTGTTGAGGGTCGGTTGGCTTCTATGATTTCTGGGGCTTCACTAGGAATATGCATGTGTTGCTCTAGTCTTTCGACAGAAACTATCTGATTTGAAAGTTGGCATTGAAATTGGATGGAAGCAACAAGAGCAGCGTTCAATGAGAGCCCATAAGAAAGAGCCATTCCAATGATACCTATCATTATTAATTACACCAAAAACACCGTTTCTTTCTAGTCGTTTTTGAGATTATATATATGGTTTTGAAATCATTAATCACTAACCTGAGTCAGAAGCTTGAAATGGAAGCAAAGTTATGGCCAAGGCAGACATTGAAACAACAAGTGCACATAGCATTTCAAGACGTTGGATCAACCACTCATTTGCTGAAAAACTATGAAAAAATGGACTCGCGTTGCCATCAATAAGGTGCATATGTTCTAGAAAGAAACCATCTTCTTTGCCAAATGCACGGATGGTTACAGCTCCGGCGATCGACTGTGCGAGATGGCTTGCTACTAATGACTTACTCGTGCCATCCAATCGCATTAACTCCTTTGCAGAAGCGTTGTACAATTTCTATGTGAAAAATAATCAAATGGCATGTTGTTTTTAGGTATTAAATACATGTTGGGTATATGTCCTTTTTTATTTGTGTTTGAATTAATCTTTTATTTCATAAATAAGTCCTAGTGTTTAGATGTTGATGTTGAAATTAAAGACTTGAAGTGATTCCATATTGATGCTATTTCATATGAGCTTATATATATATATATATATATATATATATATATATATATATATATATATATATATATATATATATATATATATATATATATATATATATATATTATCGAGTCAAAATCTATGTAACCGGTCATGCTTGCTAGTGTGAGATATTATTTTGATGTTTGAAATAGTGGCGTCAGAGTCACTTGTGGATAGAGACACAGGTTTACTTGAAAGATTGGAGATAGTTTAGTATTTAGTACTCTCGATGTTTTGGCATGACTTGGTATTTATTATTTACTGATGTTTGATGATTGATTAATACATATCTTTATGTTCTCTTTAATTTCTAAACATTTATATTTTGTTAATGTTTGAAAATGTCTGGAGTTTTCCGTTGCAATATTTTATGAAAAATGAAGTTTCAATAGCATAAAGAAAATTTCAAAGTAGGTGTATTTTAAGGGATGATATAGAAGTACTTTCGGGTTTGTTTTAATGGTGGGGACTAAAGTTGTTTCTTAGTCCTCAAATAAACAACCAAAACCCGTGGTTTCCTTTCCACAACAGAGGCAAAACTCAAAGGTGAAATATGGTTTGCAGGTCATATTGTAAGGTTGGTAAGGGCGTTGAAGAGAAAACATGAACTGGAATTGCCTAATAAAGCTCTAACGATATACTAAAACCATATCCAGCCCACATTTATTTTTTACATCTAAATAAAATAACAATTGATGCAAATAGTCTTTAATTTCAGATTCTATTCCTTTTGTAAGTTATTTTTACAGCAAAAAGTGTATTCCCCCATATATCTTTTTATAATTTATATAGATTGTCAAAAATATCGCTTATATAGGTTTATTGCATGTTTTATTAGAATATTTGTGCTGTAATATATATATATATATATATATATATATATATATATATATATATATATATATATATATATATATATATATATATATATATATATATATATAAGATTCAATACATAAAGATTAAACTTTATATTTATATTAACTAATCTCATTTAATGTATAACATTATATCACATATATTAAATATCATTTATATTTAATTAGTAATTAAAATAAACTAGAAATCTATAAACCTTTAATATATAACATTATATCACACATAGTAAATAGCATTTATTTTTAATTAGTAATTAAAATAAACTAGAAATCTATAAACCTAAAATAAAAAGGACTAAAACTGAAACCAAAAGTTGAACTCCATGAATAATATCACTTTATATTTTGTTATAGTATTCACACCAAATGGTGCAAGAAATGGGGTGACATCGAGAAGAATGGAGTTAAAAATGATATTTGCCTATTTGGAGTTTGGTTGGAGATAGGGTGCGAAAAACCAAAGATAAAAAACCAAAATTGAATAATCAAACTAAACCAGATGATGTTTAGTTTTGGTTTGAGTTATTTGGTTTTCGGTTAATTTGATTTGGTTAAACAAATAAAGATATCTTATCTGGTTTGATTTTGGTTAAATTTTTATTATTTTGGTTAAGCTGAAAAAAACCAAAGAAGCTATAATATTAGTATATATAGTCATAGTTTATATCTATGATTTAATATTTTATATATAAATTTATAGATTAATTACTTATATTTTAATAACTTATTATTTAGTTAGTAACCATTATAAATTTATAATGTTTATTTTGTATTCAAAATCAAAAACAAATCAACCAAATGTCAATTAATCTTTTGTTGTTTTTTTTTTCATCTTCATATGCCATTAAAGCTATGTTAACACATCTCTTCAACTTGTATTATGGCATCAATTCTTCCACACATCACATGAAAGATTGAATATAATGTCATATATTAGTGTATTATTTTTATTTGGCAAAAGTTTAGCACATTTTTTCTTTTAGTTTAATATTTATATTTACTTGCAAAAATTTATTCGGTTTAACCGGTAAACCAAACAAAATAAACTGTAACCGAATAAACCAAAATTGATAAAACCGAACTAATTTAACCGAAAACCAAAAAAACGAACCAAATAACACCCCTAGTTGGAGATACCAAAATAATTAAATGTTTCACAACAAGAGTAAACATATTGATATATGATTACATTTTCTATGAGACCCGGTGAAAGATGGACTTGTCAAGCTAAGCTACTACAACAATTAGAACTTAACTACAGATGTTATAACAAATCCACTGAAGCTAGAAAAATCTGAGAAGCTTCGTGGCATGCTTGGAGTAACTAAATTCAATGTATTAATCTAAATGCAAATACATTATTAGCTCAAGAAGGGAGCGTTAGGTATATGGTATGTTTGGCAAAACAAGTCGGTAACAGATAAGTGGTGGGTGGTGGGTGGTAGGTTGTAGGTGGTAACTAGAAACTATATATTATATTTGTGTATAAGTGTTCGATAAAAATAGTTTTAAGTTTTTAAAATTATAGAATTATATAAAAGTAAAAGCTAAAAGTTTTTGAAAACTATTTAAGATATTTTTTAGATTGAAGTTTTTTTTTTTAAAATAAAAGTTTAAACTTGTATTTTAAAACGGAGTTATTTTTATATTTATTTTTATTTTTAAATTTAGTTCTTTATCAAAAGCTAAAAGCTTAGGTTGCGGAACATACATGTACAAGGTTTTTATTTTTGTTAGAACTAGTCTCCATTTTTAGTTAAATAAGTCATAGTCTTTAAGAGAAGCCATTCTTCATATGCCTAATAATATAAAAGTCCGTTTGACAAAAATATTCGGTTTTACCGTTTTATCGTACTTTTGTTTCATTAAAGTTGGAAGTTTGCACCTTTTTTTTTTCCAATTATACCCTTTAGCGTATTTCTCTGATTCATTAAACCCCTTTAAGGTTGACATAAATGTTTGGTTTTACCCTTTTTTATGGTTCCTTAAAGTCTTTAAGTTTCGTAGAAATGTACGATTTTACCAGATAAATCTGCAAAAAGGTAAAACTGAAAAAAGTTGCAAACTCCCGTTTTTAATGAACCAAAATATGCAAAAGATAAAACCCAACATTTCTGTCAACCAACCTTAAAAGCTTTTATGTCATTAGGTTTTTTATTTTTATTTTTTTATAATGATAGTTGTTGGGTCATTCTTCACAATGATAGTTGTTTGCAGTTACATTTAATAACACATTCCTTCTATGGATTATTTAGCTTTTGAATTTAGTAGGCATTTAGAAATCAAAGTATAGCCTTTTTTACCTGTAGAAGTATCGTCACATAAACCGTGGGAATGATAATGAACAAAGTAGGCCAAGTTAGGAACGCCAAGACTCCAAAGCTTAAGTAAGCATTCATCGTTGCTCCTACACACATCGTAAGCTTTATTGCCAATTCAAGGTCCACAATGCTAAGATCGGATGACACCTAACAAAAGAAGATTCCTAAGTTTCTTGTAGTTCATTCGAGCATAATTTTATATGTAAAAACATATCAACTTACACGACTGATGATCCTTCCGATAGGTGTTGAGTCATAAAAGGCCATTGGTGCTCGAAAAAGTGATGTAATCAACTTCATAAACATTGTTATCGATGTCTTAACCCCTAGTTTAACAGCAAAGTAAGATCTACTAAATAATAAGATTATAACCACGAAAGCGAGGCTCGTGTATACTAGTAACATGTTCCTATGGTTTACACCAAAACTGTGCACTTCCTTAGCCAACCATAGATTCTGCAACACCTGCCCGATTATGTACACAAAATTTATCAAAACCAACATAGAGAAGTAGAAAACACCGTTGCTCTGGCTAAGATATTGTTTGTACGGTTTAAAACCCGTGTCCCCTGCTTCTTTTTCTTCTTGCTTAAGCAATTGTTCTCCTAGAATTTCTTCTTTAGGATTAGTTTTTTTGGTTTCTTGAAATAGAGCTTTAAATCTGTGTTGAGAATCATCATGTGCTTCTTGATTATCTGAATTGGAAGTATCCCTAAGTGTGATCATAAGGTTTTTGAACTCTCTACAGGATGCAAGTAATTTCTCATATGTTCCTGTTTGCACGATCTTCCCATCTACCATTAACTGTAAATGGAATCAAAAGTCGTTAAGAGTGGAAAAACTTAAAAACGTTAAAACAACCAGTTTGTGAAATAGGTCATGAGCTCACCAGGATATCGTCAAAAGCTGGCAAGAAATCAACTTGGTGAGTTACAAGCAACACCGTCTTGCTAGATAGAGCATCCATGATGTATTCCTATAAATAAAAAACGTTTCAACGAATTGTATTTTTTAAAGAGAGACATGAAAATGATGATTACCTTGAACAAACTGGATGCAGTATGTGCATCAACTGCACTGAACGGATCATCCAAGAGGTATATATCTGCATCTTGATATAATGCCCGAGCAAGTTGAACTCGTTGTTTTTGTCCACCACTAAGATTTATGCCTCGTTCTCCAATAATTGTTTGGTCTCCAAATGGAAACATCTCGATATCCTTCACAAGTGAGCATTGTGTTACTACTTTTTCATACTTTTCCTCATCCATCAACATTCCAAATAGAATATTTTCTCGAATAGTCCCCGTTTGGATCCATGCCGTTTGCGAAACGTATGCTACCTTGCCATAAACTTCAACCTGAAAAATTCAAAATCCAATTTCAAACTAATAATACGATCTTTAATCGAAGCCCAAAACCTATTTATCCATGTGTTTTAATGTAAAATAACTCAATTGGATTGATTTATTATACCATTATATCTATACATGATGCTCGTGAACAATATGAAACCAAATACAGTTAACGTTGTTGGGGTTGAAACACACTTTTATTCAGAACTAAAACAAAAGAGAAGAGCTTACATGCTCAATATTACAAGAAAAAGAAACAACCCTCTAATACTCACTCTAAGTATTACTCCCTACACTCTCTGTTGTTGTGGTGCCTTACAACTCAGATTACAACTTCTATTTATACTAAAGCTAGCCACTATAAGTATTGTGACAATTTATTGTGTTCATCGTATGAAATAAAGAGGCTGCCATTTCTAGTTGTTATTGTCAACAAAGGAGGCATTCATTTGTCAACTAAAGAGGATGGTGCAGCTACTCATGGCAGGTTCACACCCAAGTAGGTTTACACTCACATTTTCCCCCTTAAACCGAACTTGGCTCGAGATTCGTCACTCCGATCATGTTTCGCATTTCACCATGTTTCACGTATGCTAAAGCCTTTGTAAAGATGTCCGCCCGTTGATCCTTCGAGTTGACATATTCTACTATAATTTGCCCACGTTCAACACATTCCCGTATGAAGTGATAACGAATGTCAATGTGTTTGCTTCGTCCATGAAACACATGATTTTTCATCAATGCGATTGCTGACTTGTTATCAACATATAAGGTGATATGCATGATATGATGTCCCGTGAGCTCCTTCACGAGATTAGCAAGCCAAATGGCTTGACATGCTGCTGTTGTAGCTGCCATGAACTCGGCTTCACACGTGCACAAAGCAACAATCTTTTGCTTTTGGGATTGCCAAGTTATCAAGTTCCTTCCTAGATAGAAAATCATTCCACTTGTGCTCTTGCTATCAACAGGGTCACCTCCAAGATCACTATCGGTAAAACCAACCAAATCTTCAATTTCACGACCTCTTCCATAATTGATTCCATAATCAACAGTTCCTTTCACATACCGTAAGATGTGTTTCACAACTTGGAAGTGCAAAACGGTCGGTTCCTCCATGAAACGACTTGCAATTCCAACTGAAAATGACAAGTCCGGTCGAGTGTGAGTCAACTACCTCAAACAACCTACCACTCGCCTATATTCAGTTGGATCAACTTTTTCACCATCTTCATCCTTTTTAACCTTCAACTTAGGTTCCATTGGTGACGTTGTCGGATTGCAATCCAGCAACCCAAATTGCTCTAAAATCTTCTTTGCATAAGCTGTTTGTCGCAAAGATATTCCCCACTTCTTTTGCGAAACTTCGATTCCAAGGTAGTAAGAAAGTAATCCCAAGTCACTCATTTCGAATTCTTTCTTCATTTGTTCTTTGAATTCGACAACGTCGTTAGTGCTCGATCCGGTAATGATCAGGTCATCAACATAGACACCAACAATAAGAATTTTGTCTTTTGAGTTCCTTTTGTAAACAGCTGGGTCTTGTGAACTTTTTGTAAAACCAAGCCTTTTTAAGCTTTTATCCAAACAAATGTTCCAAGCTCGAGGAGCTTGTCGTAGACCATAAAGAGCTTTTATGAAGCTTGAACACCTTATGACTGTTTGCTCTATCAACATAACCTTCTGGTTGGGTGACATAAACCTCCTCTTTGAGATCTCCATTAAGAAAAGCTGACTTGACATCGAGATGGTGGACAACCCACCCATGTTGAGCTGCTAAGGCAAGAATGAGTCTTACGGTGTCAAGTCATGCTACAGGTGCAAAAACTTCATCAAAGTCGACTCCTTCCTTTTGTACAAATCCTTTTGCTACAAGTCGAGCTTTATGCTTCACCACTTTTCCCAAGTTGTCTTTCTTCACTTTAAACACCCATTTCAAACCGATTGCTTTGTTTCCGGGTGGCAAATTGGTAAGTTGCCATGTCTTGTTCTTCTTGATTGCATCCAACTCTGCTTGCATAGCCTCCTGCCATGCTTTAGAGGTTAATTGCCTCTTTAAAATTCAAGGGTTGATCTGCTACAATCATCAACAATTCTCCGGGTTCAAGGAACACATTTTCGCCTTCAAAATAGATATCGGTTAATGGACATAATCCCCTTGGCCCAATCTCACTAGAAGGGCTTTCCATATGGGGCGAGGTTGAAGAAAACGGGGCTGAGACAGGAGTTTGTGGGGCCGGTTCAGGCTCGTCAAATTCAGCATATGGTTGTCCAACTTGGATAACATCGATTCCTGGACTGTTTGGTTGTTCCGGGTTTATTTAGGGGTCATTTTGAGGTGTTTCGAGGTGTATTTGGGGTTGTGGTTCAATTATGGTAAAGGTCTTAGGAGTCGCCATCTCTTCTTCTTTGTTTTTGTACCAATTCCATTCTTCTTTTTCGTCAAAAACAACATCGCGACTAACTCGCAACTTTCGGTCTTGCGGATCAAACAAACGGTTGCCTTTAGTTCCATCTTCCACACCTACATACACCATCTTTTTACTTCGATCATCAAGTTTCTTCAAGTGACCACCTACAAGTTTAGCAAAAGCAACACAACCAAAAACTTTTAGATGTTCAAGGTTAGGCTTTTTGCCAAACCATGTTTCATAAGGTGTCTTGTCGGGAAGTGCTTTTGTTGGCAGGCGGTTGAGAAGATAAATTGCATGTCTAACCGCTTCTCCCCAAAACTCTCCCGGGACATTTCTACCTTTGAGCAGACTTCTTTCCATGTCCATAACGGTTCGATTTCGCCTTTCTACAACTCCGTTCTGTTGAGGCAAATATGGTGTTGTAAGATGCCTTTGAATACCATTTTCTTCACAAAATAATGAGAATTCTTTTGAAGTGAATTCTCCCCCTCGGTCCGTTCGAAGTATCTTTATTTGATAACCCGAATTCTTTTCAACCATCAACTTGAACCGTTTGAAAGCGCTCAAGGCTTGAGACTTCTCCGATAGCATGTAAACCCACATCCACCGGCTAAAATCGTCTACTAAAAGGAGAAAATATTTACTCCCTCCAACAGATGTAGGTGTGATCGGACCACATAAGTCCGCATGAACAAGTTGTAGAGGTTTTTAAGCCCGAAAAACTGCATGATCCGGGAAAGGAATTCGGGTTTGTTTGGAAAGAACGCACCCTTCACATACTTGGTTTGGGTGCTCAATCTTTGGGACTCCGATTGCCATATTCTTTTCGGACAACTTCTTTAAGGCGAGAAAGTTAACACGACCGAGTCTAGAATGCCATATCCAAGTTGGTTCGTCTTTTGTTGCTAAAAGACAAGTCGGTCTACCGGTCCTTAAAGGAGTTTTATATAACCGGTTTGGGGATCGTTTAACTCTCAAAAGTAGAGTTTTGTTTCCGTCAAACAATGTCAGATCCGACCCATCCATTATCACCATTTTTGCTATCGAATAAAATCGACCATTTTCCTAAAATAGCGACGGACGAACCATCCCCAAATTTCACGTGACCCGTAACGTGCTCATCTAGTTCGCGAAACTTTGAGCGGTCTCCAGTCATGTGATTGCTAGCACCATTGTCGAGATACCATACCTCGGACTCGACTCGACTTTCTCCAAATGTAAGAAGATTAACACAAATCTTCTCTCTTAGAGACACCTTTTTGTTTGCATATTCTTGTGCAGCTGCCATCATCAAAATAGGCTCTTCTTCGTTGGCTTGAGCGAGGTTCGCCTCCTCACCTCGATTCTTGTTTGGACACTCCGACGCATAATGACCAAATTGTTCACAAGTAAAACATTTGATTTTACTTTTATCCTTTCGAGAAGGATTATGGTCATTCCGATTTGTATTGTACTCGCGACCACCTCCTTGGCCACGTCCACGACCTCGGCCTCGTCCCCGGCCTCGGTTACCATGTCCTCCTCGTCCTCTTGAAGTGTTTGACGAGTTTCTCTCTTCAGTTTGCTTTGAACGAGATGCCCACTCGGCATGTGTAAGCAATAGAGAAGGTCTTTTTCTCCATAGCTTCGAAGTCTCTCTTCATGGGTCTTAAGACGACCCACAACTTCTTCCACCGTCATATTCTTCAAATCTCCGAATTGCTCGATAGATATTACGATTTGTATAAATCGTATCGGTACGGCTCGCAGAAACTTCTTCACAACCGTTATTTCTTCAATCTTTTCACCTAGAGATCGAATACCGGTTACGATAATATTCAATCTCATGGAAAAATCATCTACCATTCACTGTCTTTCATCCGGATCACCTCGAAGTCACTTCTCAAGGTTTGAGCTTTAGCCTCCTTGACCCGATCGGCTCCCATGTGCATCATCTTAAGCGTTTCCCATGCTTCTTTAGCTGTGTCCTTCTCAGCTAACATTAGAAGTACATCCTCTGGAATTGCTTGATAAATAGCCGCAAGAGCCATCCGATCTTTACGTACGTCCGTTTCTGCATTTTTAATTACATCCCATACTCCTTGTGCTTGTAAATTCACTCGCATTTTTATGGCTCACACCGAGTAGTTCATCTTCGTGAGCATTGGATAGTGTAACGTAACACTACCATCTTTCCCGGTCCTTTGAAAACTTTCAACTTTGGCTTGAGAAGATGACGTAGTTGGTGTAGTCATTTTTGGCATATACTTGGGCATACACAATAATGATTTTTTTTTTGAAGTACAGGGACCAATATGAACTTTTTAGAAGTTCAGGGGGCAAATAGAACTTTTACAGATGTAAAACAGGGGCTAAACTGAAAATTTTCTGAAAAACGGGACAAAAAAGCAATTTTTCTGAAAAACAGGGGCTAAATTGCACTTTTCGGAAGAACAGGGGCTAAACTGCAATTTTCTGAACTTTGGTCAGCTGCTGACGTCACTGCTACATTGCTGCTACAGTAGTCGCTACAGTGTCGTCTTCTCCGGCGAACACTGGTTTTTCCGGCCAACTTTCCGGCGACTTTTGACCAACTTTGACCGGCGATTTGGAAGCCTTCCGGTGGTCAAAAATTCAAAAAAATATATTTTCGGAATCCTCGGAACGATACCTTTCCAATGGTGTACTCCGAAATTGTTTTTGAGATAAAAAAATTTTGACCAAAAAACAAAGAATGCTCCCCCGGAGCTTAACCAAGCTCTGATACCACTTGTTGGGGTTGAAACACACTTTTATTCAGAACTAAAACAAAAGAGAAGAGCTTACACGCTCAATATTACAAGAAAAAGAAAGAACCCTCTAATACTCACTCTAAGTATTACTTCCTACACTCTCTGTTTTTGTGATGCCTTACAACTCAGATTACAACTTCTATTTATACTAAAGCTAGCCACTATAAGTACTGTGATAATTTATTGTGTTCATCGTATGAAATAAAGAGGCTGCCATTTCTAGTTGTTATTGTTAACAAAGGAAGCATTCATTTGTCAACTAAAGAGGATGGTGCAGCTACTCATGGCAGGTTCACACCCAAGTAGGTTTACACTCACAAACGATTGCTATTATACTAGTCACTAAAACCAAATATTGTGTTAAAGTTTTATGTGTACATGTTGATTCTGATTTTAGTTATTATTTTCATAACAATATTATATATATATATATATATATATATATATATATATATATATATATATATATATATATATATATATATATATATATATATATAATATTTGTTACTCGTAAGGTTATATTATCAACTGGATTAATATTAATTATGTATTAGTAAATTTTATGTTTCAAACTTATATACATTTTTTTTTTGTATTTTTTAATAAATATAAACGTTATGTTTGAAATTTATATTACTTACTAAAAAGGAATTATATCAAGAATATTTTGTTCTTGTTGGAAACGGTTTAAGATCGACTCAAAGGGTTTTCAAAAGCCTGTTTTATGCACATTAACGACTACGGACCGGTCTAGGTCAATCTCGAATTGGTCCGATTTTTTTGGCCACCGGTATCGACACAAGTCTTTTTTAGACTGATTTTTGACATTTTTTTTTTCATTTCATTCTATTTGGGACTGGTCTTGGTTTTTTAGTATGGAAGTGCGATCTTTGCATGTATTTTTTTGGTCCAGTTTTTGTGTTTTTTCGGTTTTGGATTTTTCCGTTAACAAATATGTGATTAAGATCAGCATATTAATACATTAAAATTTATAAAAAATAATACATTAAAATGTAATAAAGAAAAAAAAAGTTGAATATGCTATTAAAACAAAGATGATATTTATGTAGTGAAGTGGTAAGTCGAATAAAAAGTATGACGTATCTAGTGGGGTGGGGCTAAAACTAGAGGGTGTGGATGTGGTAGGAAGTGTGGTTCGCCACTTCAACTGTGGCAAACACCCTCGTCTGCGGTAGGATGTGTAGTTCCTCTCTCTTCACTTATAATGTGCCTTGCTCTCTCTCTCTCTCTCCACACACACACATAATATGTATGTAGAAAGGGATCGATCTCTATATATGGATCCGATACTAAAAATTGTAAAGACTCTATAAGACAAGGGAATAGGTGACAAAAACACTTGACATATGCTTGAAAGGCCATACAAACACCTAGCCTCAAAGGTGACATAATGACAAACTAAAATGACATTTTAGTGTGATGAGAGAGGAGAGAGAATACGCATGTGAGTGTGTTTATTTTTTTTTCTTATCGTATTTTTTTTACCAAGTTGATCTGTTCCTAAAACAACATATTATTTATGTTGTGTGGCAAAATTAACATGAACAGTTTGTGGCTTTATCAAGCCTAATAATCGAATGATGCTGGCTGAAATTAGTGACATTATATAGAGGTATTAGTTTTTGCTATTGCACTGATAACAATTTTATTCGGTTTGAAGCAAGTAATGGTTTTTTTTAAGCAAATATTATAAACTACTTTTAAATTATTCTATTAGAGTTATTGCGGGATTTGAAGCTTCGACTTTAAAAAGGGAAGACAATATCGAATACTGTTGGACTAAAAACAAGTAATGGGTAAAGAGTACATATTTGGTAGGTCAAAATTTAAGAAGACTTACTGTGCCTTCTATGTTGGGAACCTCTCCTAGAATGGCAGATATAAGAGTCGATTTACCCGACCCGACCTCTCCACATATTGCCACCTTTTTGCCTGTCGAAACTTCAAGATTTACATGGGTTAGGGTCGGTGTTGATGAATTATCATTCCATGAAATCCTCTCACATTTGATTATTACAGATAGCTCTTGATCATCTTCCACATTCACATGACTTGTTCCCTCTTTCTGCAATTCAGGCGCCTCAAGAAACTTAACAACACGAGCTAACGCTACACTTGCCTCGATAAACACAGCTGCAACATCAGGAATGCTCTGAATAGGCTCCTGAATGATCCGAATTGTTGCCAGAAACGTGAACACATTACCTGCATCAAGTGTAATTCCCAACAAATAACACGACCAAAACGTAACTACTCCTACAACCGCCGGAGACGACCAATAAAGAGCCAAGTAGACGCCTCTTTGTGAGATAACAGCCGATAAGCATCTCATCTCTTCGCTTCTCAACTTTCCAACCACCTCCCGGAAATGCGTCTCCCATGCATACAGCTTCAAAACCTTCATGTTTGTAACAGCCTCCGTTATACCCTTCAATCTTCGGTCTTGTGTCATCATAAGTCCTGTTAAGTTTTCATGTTGCAACTTACCCAACGGGATATTTCCAACAACTGTCAACGTTACTACTAAAAGAGATGCAAATGTTGCAACTCCCACTGAAAAATAGATTATAACTATCGCCAGACATATCTGAAGAGGTATCATCCATACCCGATGAAACCACAATGGGAACTCGCCGATTCTAGTAGCATCAACGGTGGCGTAGTTCATTATTTGACCGGAGGAGTAACTCAATTTAGCATCGTTGGATAGCCGGAGTTGCTTCTGATAAATGGCTGCACATAACATCGATTTCACTTGGAGTCCGATCACTCTACTTCCAAACTTTAGTTGTCTCTCCGATACCGATTCTAGACATTTCGCTAGTAGCAGACCTAACGCCAGAAAGTAACCTTCATGCTCAAAGCTTTCTTTCCCTTGGAAAACCCTAATGAAAGCTCGTAGAATCAAAGGTCCAGAAGCCAAAGCGAGCACTTTTATTAGTGCAAAGAAGCCTGTGATCACGACCTCTTTACATTGCCAAACGAACAGTGTTGACAATATCGACGGATTGGAATCACCACGACCACCGGAAGCACGTCGCTTCTTCATCGTCTCCATGAATCTGGAATAGCATTCTTTAGCTGTATCTTCTCTTCGTAACTTTGGGATGTCCTTGTCGTCAAGAACTTTAGTTTTTCCTTTTATCATCAACGGATTTAGCCACCAGAATGTAAGTTTGCTTAACGTTCCTGCTTCAACCATTGGAGTAACATTTTCGTTTGTTTCAGATGGCGGAATAGCTTGCAGAGGTTCATAAAAACAACCAATATTCTCGACGTTTTTTTGTTTTAGGGCCATGAAAACCCTGCTCACAAGTTTTCTTCTAAAATCGATGAAGTGACTTAGTGACTTACGTAGTTACGTGCACATGCTATGACAAAATCTTTACGGATCTAGTTTTAGTTTAGAGCATCCTTTTTCTTTTCAAAAGCTTTTTTTTATCTAAATAAGCTTTTGAATAAGTGTGGTTCCTTTTGTGAGAACTTTTCTTCATAACATACTCATCGGCTATAAAGAGCCTGTGTTCACTAATTTTTATTTTATAAAAATTTTTAGTTAATATATTTATAATAGTTAACATTTAAAAAAACAAAATTCTCCAACTAATTTATCATTTATAAGTTCTATCATATAATTTATAACTTATCGTTGTTGGGTATTTTTTTTTTCGAAACCATAAAAGATAATAAACTACAAAACAGTAAAATATTATGTAACCGAAATGCATGTTTTATAGTATTTATTATTTTTTAATTTTGATAATTTTACAACTACTTTTTAAATTATATAACTTTTTTATAAAGTACATTCATTTTTATTTTTTATTAAATCAACTGATTAACTAATAAAAAAATTTAATATCTAAATATCACTAGGATATAAAATATAATGGTACTTAATTTAGGAATCAAATATGCAAAACATATGAAAAAAAAAAATTAAAAGGTTAGTGGAAGATAAAGGTTTGTGAGTGTTTTTTTATGAAAAGTCTTGTTCTCCGATGGTAAAAGAATTTCAAAAGTTTTTCTTTTTAAGAACCTACCATAAGAGATGTTTTGAGGACATCATTATTCATTCAACTCTTTAAAATTTAATATATTGATACATCATTTTTTCTATGAACTCTATCAATTTTTTTATAATGCACGCTTTACAAAGTTCAATGAAAAATATTTAAATATTGATGGAATATAATACATTAGGTCTATCAGACCAATTAGTATACCATCGATGAACCATTTTGTGGTCTAACTGGCCACGGACAACGGTCGTGCACACCAGCCTGACCATTCGTTGTGCATCGTTATCGTGGTGTACCGTGGGTGGGAAGGACGAGATGCAACGACCAATAAGAGTTTGCTTCATATTTGACCGGTGATGTAGTTGTTGAACGATTAATTTAAAAAAAAACATTGTTTTAAACACAAGTTTTATCTATAAAAACCACACGATACACCCACATTTCTTACACCATTCTTTTTTTTTTCTCTATATTACACAATATACATACAATCTTTTTACAAACTATTATCATTTTAATTTTAATGCTATAATTATTGAATTGTCAATATAACACCCGAATCGTTGAGGTATTTTATTTTAATTAAAAATCTTGATTTTGAATTGCCACAACGTGGTGGAGGTACCGACACAACGTGACAAGGCTGGAAGGATCTCAAACATCGATTCCTGGTCGCTACGACGTGGTCATATGTTGGCCATGACGTGGCAACCACCTGATGGCAAAAGGCCTATTTTTTCGGGTATTTAAGGGAAAGTATGGACTAGGGTTGTTTACCCTCAGCCTTCATCACTCTCAAACATCAGAAACCCTAACCCTAACACCTCTTGATGATTATTGAGATCATCTTGGTGCTTGGTATTTGCTTGTGAAGGAAGAAGAAGGCTTTGGAGGTCTTGTTAGAATCTTGGGAAGCTTTGGGACTTCACTTTCTCCGGACATTTGGTATGTGCCAAGATCCAAACTTTATGCTTTTATATTGCTAGATCTAAGGTTTTGTACCATTTTCTTCTTGAATGAGCATGATGGAGTGGAAGGATTCCATAAAGTCACAAACTTTATGGATCCTTGGGGTCCCTTTAAGTACATATGTTGTAGATATGGAGTTTCTTGGAAGTTATTGGTCCCATTTAAGTTCTTTTTTCCCCATGTTTTGACCTAAAAATGGAAGCGACATGCATTGTACATGCATGTCCGTAAAGCACCAACTTTTATGTTCCATTTGGTGTAAGAAAGCTTTCTGGAAAACATGGATGAATGACCTTGATGATTAAGAGTTTATTGGTTAAGTCATGCTTCTTAATGTCTTTAAGGACCTTGGTTTAGAGTTATTTTCTTAATTGAATGTCTTAATGGATAAAGTTGGAAACTTTATCCATCAAGACCTTGAGAAGGATTAGATCTGAACTTTGGAGCACATGGAATTGGAAGAAAACAACTTAATACGATTGAGCTGTTCAGACAAGTTCCCACGATGTGGCCACTAGGGATCAGTCGATTGTTTTGGCATTTTGTGCCCACGACGGGGCCAAAGGAAGGCCACGACGTGGGGGGTTTGATGTTGACAATTTTGACCCTAAATTTGAAAGTTGACTTTTTTTGTCTCATTGACTTTTTGTCAGATTGCTAGCTTTAGAAGGGTAGCCTAAGAGTTTACCTTGTATGGATATCTAGGTGGCGTTTAGCACCCATGCTTGGATTTTGACAGCTATTGAATTTTTATGAGACTATTAGGTGAGTTTTTATCACTATACTATGTAGGTGTTAGTTGTCTATGTGATACTTGCATGAAAGACCCAAGGGGTAGCCCGTGACATTTGTATGAAAGACCATGGGGGTAGCTAATGAAACTTTTGTATAAGACCTTTGGGCAGCCAAGGCACTGCAGGGGAAGACCATATGTAACGACCCAAAAATCAAGTGTAACACCGATTTCCTGGTATGTATTTTACTTAAGAATTTTATGTATTTTCTCTAGGACTCGATGAGTTGATGGCCCAACTCGTCGACTAGAGACAGGATCCGCAGGAAGTTAAGTGACCTACGCGACGAGTCGGGGGCTGACTCGACGAGTAGGCGCTGTTTGGACAAAACCCTAAATCTGAGGGATTGCACCATATTTAAACATCATTATAGCCTTAAACCAGCCCCCATCACCCCTAGAATGTTCCTTCCAAAACCCTAGTCTCCATATAAGTGTTCTTGAGTGTTTCTCACCTTTGTGAAGGATTTTTGGTGCATCTAAAAGCTAGAAGAAGAAAAGAGAGGTTGAAGATTCGAAGGGGGCAAAGTAGATCCAAAAGCCATCTTCCTTTTTCCACCTTTTCTGGTAATCAAGTTCTCAACTTGACCCTTGTATGTTTTAGATCTTCAAACTCCCTAAATTGATGGTTTTGAGCTCAAAAACCATGAATTCTTAGGGATGAAGCAGTTTTATCGATTTATATCTCATATCTAGTTCTTAGAATCGAATACATGGCATAATGATGCAAGCTTTATGGCCATGATAGGCCATGCACCCCTTTAGACTCCATTTTTGGGTCCATTAAGCTTATACTCCCATGCATGCACGTGAATTCGTAACTTTATGTGCTAGATTGACTTTAGAAGCTCAGATCTATCTTTTGGATGAGTGTTGTACATCAGAAATCGAGAAAACAAGACTTGGACAACATCGACTCGACGAGTGTTCTTGGAACTTGACATATGGTAGAGCTTCCACATGTTTTGTCGAAAGAGCAACTAGCTTGTATGTTGGCAAAAGCAATATGTGGGAGAGAATTTTCAGAGCTCTCTTGACAAGTTGGGAATGATGAATATACATTCTCCATCTTGAGGGAGAATGTTAATGAGAGCAAGTCCAGGAAGTTTGTTCATGTAAATTTTATCTAATCCAAGATTATTGGTTGCATCATAGTTAGGTTGTTAGTTCTCTTATTATATAAATACGTGTATCCTAAATCAATAATACATACAGAGAATTGAAAGACTTGTCCACAGTATTGTCTTCTCACTTTGTTACAATTATCGTTAAATAGTTGAAATATACGTTAATTAGATTGGTAAATTGGTAGAAATATCTTGTATTGTTTTTGCTAAGACACTCTATTTCATCAATTAGATCACATATTCTGTAAGGAAAAAAATGACGTTTGATTTGATATATGATTATTTTTACTAACAATCAAGAACTTCAAATATTTCTTGTTATATTAAAAGTAAGAGTACTTTTAGATCATAAGCAACTTAAGCAATATATAATGATTACTAATTGCTGGATAATTTAGTTGTGCAATAGCAATATTATAAACAAAAAACGTTGTCCCCAAATAAAAATAACCAAGGGGACATTTGGTACCATCATCAAAATTGATCCCCACTCTAACAAATGATATGTCTATTTTTATACACAATTCCAACAAAGCAATTATATATAATTAAACGTAATAAAATAACAATGACACATCTTATAACCATTTTTTTGCCATTAAGTTTTATCGGATCAGAAACTAAAATCGGTATTTGCTTATATGAAATCACTACATGTTTTCTTGTATTTAAATTTAATTGAATTATTATTTATAGAACTACGCGCCATTAAATATACACATGGAAAAGATAAATATTAGTTAAACAAATCGGAAAAATGATTCATTCCACTAATAGATATATGAAAATGGCTAAGAAAAGAGATTCCTTTCATTAAACAAATCGGAATCATAATTCCATAGACAACAACCAACAGGAGGAGCTTTCATGGAGAATCCACTTTCCCTTCTTGAATATTCAATAATTAACATATAGACTTTGATAAAAAGTAAAATAAATAATATTTGAATATTTGGAAAAAAAAGTTTTATGTCTAATCATCCATAACTTAAAATAAAAGTTATTATTTATATTTAAAAACAAATATATTAAGTGATAACACTCATTTATCTGATCAAGCATAGAAGATCTACATTGAGTTCGTTACAAAGTAAATATAAAACAAACTTTCGATCATATGTTATTGTAATAAGTCTTATCTATGCATATTTCTTCTAGCAACATAAAAATAACAATCAATAAGTAGATTTCATATTTAGCTTGTATATCATTTTTCACACTCTTAAGTTATTAGATAAATATAAAAAGATGGATCAAGCTTCAAACAAAGTTTATATATAGATGGTTCAAATGTCATATGTAAACATATTACATATATTTATGTAAGAATATAAAAATGTCATATGTTCACAAACGAATATGATTTATTTTCATGTGATCCTATAAT